AGAGAGTTAAGGCTCGAGTCAGGTAACTCTTAGAGACAGGTTTAGTATGTTGTTTTAGCGGACCAGGTAGACAAAACCCTTCAATATTATTATTATTAATTAAATATAACAATTTAATATTGGGAGCATTTTACAGTACGTAGTGCAATCTGAATCCCGGGCAGTATCTAAAGCTGGCTTCAAGCAATGTATATTCATCTAAAGGTGGCAATATATGGATGGATCCCTTGGTTTCCCTCAGAGGGTTTTGGACACCCTACATCCGTCGCTGCACATCTCCATCTCTTTGTGGGTGTACACAACTGTGCGGTATATTACAAAACAAGACAAAGAGATTGCATCATAGTTCCTCTGCTCAAATTATGCAACCATCTCCTCTCTAACACCTTTGATTTATTGATGAAAAGCAAGGTTGCCTGGTGTGAACATGTGTAGACTCCCATGTTCTGAAATATGTAGGTACTATTGTTTAAAAGTGATTTGAAAATGTTTAATTTCTCACATCTAATCAACAGTCAGGACAAGCGGGACTGTGTTTTTGCCTTTTATGCGATACATCAGTGCTTTGGGCTGTTTAAACATTCAGTGAGGTTATGCTGCTTGATTGAATGTCCACTAAAATGAATATTACTATTGACAGACACCTCAAACATACTCCCCGACTTGTCTCACACACCACTACAGCATTCGCAGCTGTACTACTGAAATAAGACTTCCGAGGAAGCATTGATTTACATTTTGAAGAGCAGCTTCACAGGATTTGTCGTTGTTTTGGCTCCTTTTCTTTTAGGCATTGCATTCTGAGACACCCTTACGTTGAATTCTATCATGGTATTTTTTGAGCATCTTGGCTCCTCTGCAAGGCTTCCTCTACAGCTACAGTTTTCTTGACAGCTAAAATGCTCCTCTTATTGTGCTTAGTGTTGCCAGGGCTTTTCTAGCATTTTTTAACATGTTCCTTTGCGTGTGATACTTGGGTCTGCCTTTGGCTGGCATGCCAAATGTAAACCACAAATCAGGCTGTCAGCAAAACCTTGAGTAGCAATTCAATTGTTTCACAATAAACACAATTGGGAAATTCAGTACAATTGCCAGGGTGTCAGACAAACAGTTGCCTTGGTACTGTTTCAGTGGGAGATATTTGGAAAGCTTAATTTCAATATTCTTCACTGCTCCGCAAAAACACCGTGCTTGCCCAAATTAAATCAAACTAATTTATTCCTTTTATCACAGGTTCTTCTTTATCTGGATTATAATGACTTTAAAATCTAAGAATTTAATCACTCTCACGACTCCCTCTTAACAATTTGAAGTCCAATTTGCAGCTCTGTAGCAGAGGCCTTTGTCCTCGAAAATTGCTTCCATTAACTTTTGTACTATGTTCCTGCCTATCACATAGTCAAAGGGGTGTTAGAGTGGGGTAAATGCCTTTGTTAGAAAGAAAAATCAGAGCCTCAATAGACATTTCTGATTCATGCTTAAATGCACAGAAAGATCTGATAGAAAATTAATCGGCCTGTTTGTAAGTGTTCATTTTCTCATTGCTTTTTTATTTTTTATTTTATGCTAAAATCTATGGGCCTATTTCAGGTCATTCAATTGAAAGCTATTTCATACAGGAGTTAAGATATAATTAATTTGATATACTATCATACAGTTCTTTTAGGTAGCATTGGCATCTTTGATCATTTTGCTTCATTGCTGCGGTTAGAGATACCACATGACTTAATTTAGATGCACCTATGTTATTATAGTATTTACTGTAACAAGGACATAATGACAGATTCGCTCACACACATTCCAAACAACATCCTGGTAAGTCAACAACAGTAACGTTTATCAGAGAAGATACTAGAATTATTTTGAACGTGCTCAGTAGACAGACTATACTGGGGTTAGTCAATGCACTTAGTTTTCAGAGAGAGCGACTTGGTGGTGAGACAGACCAAGCTGAGATGAACATTTGAATTGCCTGTTGTCAGTTGAATATTGTACAGAAGAAGATTCTTCATTAAATATGCTATGATGTACCCTTATGAGATGCCATGTCCAGAGGCAAAATATGTAAATGGATAATTGCAAGTAATCATCCAAGTAATAATTCATCTTGTGGCATTTTTTCTCTTCCAATATTCTGTAAAAAAAAAAAAAAAAAAGAAAAAAAAGCAGTGTGTGACTTACTGGAAAATGACTGATGTATCACTGTAGCCTTTTCAGTACCGGGAAGATAAACTCATTTAGAGTGATAGGAAGACCTGCTCACACAGACACAGACAAGGTTAAGACCCCTACTCTGGGCCAGAATGTGGACACTTGGAAGTCACAGCTTGAGACAGAATCTAATAAATGATCCTTCAGGTAAAACTGTGAGGCGGAGAAGCTAAGTGTGCAGGAGAAGTAGCTCAAGGACGATAGAAGCTTAGATGGGCTTCTGAGAGCACATGATGATGGGACTTCATTGTTAGAATGTCATATAGAGGCAATTTAATGTACAGGGTACAGTAGGAGGATGGTGAGTGTAATGGCATGTGTTGTCATGACTGTGTGCCTTTATGGTCTTTTCCCTAGGGAGTGGATGGATGTGCTCAGCCCTCCTATTATGCCTCCCAGCCAGCGGAGAAGGTCAGGCAACACATGGAGCAATCGGGGAAATCTAATCGGAGGTACAGTACAGTAACCTTAATTTTGGTCCTTTTGCCCCCAGACAGCAAACAATACAATGCTTTAACATTAACCACACTAATTCAGATGCATTGAACTAATGGAAACATCCACTAGTGTCAAAGCTTACAAAAATGTTCCACCAAAGAGTGCACTCAGCATGGTGGGAAAGCATGTGAAACTGTATCTAATTAAGGGTAAAAACCCCTTGAGAGTGGAGCTCTCTGTCCTCCACATAACTCCATAGGTCAAAAGAGACAGGCTCATTACAGGTCTGTACCCCCTAGACACATCGACAAGGTTAATTGATGAAACCTTTTCAGTTTACAACATCAGTTTTAAACCTCTTTCACAATGTGTCTTATAATTAGTTTTCATTATCGTCGCCGAAGTTCTGATAAGATAAAATGTTCCTCCTGGAGCATTCCATAACCTTTTTAGCATTTCACTGCCTGTCAATTTAACAGCTAAATTCACATGCTTTAAAGTAGTGGGGATTACAGGGAATCTCTTTACTGCTCCATAATGTGGTACAAAGTCTGGGTGTCTTAGGTCTTGATTGATGAAAGAAAAAATGGCAACGGCAGAAAACTTTTAAATCCACCTGAGTCTGAAGGTCACCTCGCCATCCGCCCGTCTCATTTTATTCCAAAAACAGCTGATTGAGTAGGCCCTTATTCATATCTGGCATCCATGCTACTGTTCGTAGAAAATACAGTATATATTTTATATATATATACTGCAAACCTAATTGATTTGAATTAGTGTAGCACTGTCTATGCATGTTTTGAACAATTACTTCTAAGTGCTGCAGAGTGATTTTCTTACATTATTACAGAAGGGGATGAGACCATGAAAGAAGAGGAGAATGAGGACGAGTATTTGAATCTGCTCTATGATCCTTGCCTGAACTGCTATTTCGATCCAAAGACGGGGAAGTACTATGAACTAGCTTGACTCAAAGCTCAAGAGAATCCGGATTAATAAATCAGAAGTCATTGATGGGATGAATGGCTTCAGGATGTTTTTTTTAGGCCTAGCTTATTGATCAGTAATGAATTCCCCAATTCACAAAAACCCTTCCATATTGTTGCTTTTGTTTTTGAGAGAATAACAGAAGCTTTGTGTCTCCATAAGAAGAGTCATGTAAGTGTGTAAATGGATGGGATTCAATAAATCAGATACATGCACAAAGTGAGTTGTTGCCCATTCAGTAGCACATCTGATGGTAGAGAGATTCCTTTCAGATGTCTTGGCTAGCAAATTAATATGTAAGCCTTTTGAAAGAACATCCTGGAGCTTCTTTTTACTCAGAAGATTTCTTACATTTGAATTTAGCTTGGATTAATATTACAGCATGGGTCATTTTGTTCTTTATTTATCATAATTTGTGTATAAAAAAGTAATTGAAAATATGTTCATGTGTACATATTGTTTTAAAATAAATTTGAACTGAAATTTTGTCTGCTGATTTCATGTGTGGATTTGAATTAAAGTGTCCTGGTGCTGTATTTGCGCCTATTTAATAGGCCCACAAGTACAAGTGATAAAAGAAGAATATGAATGTGTTTGAAATGTTAAATATTCCAGCCACAATTGTCCCTTGTTTTAATACCTGTATTCACAGTTAAACCTGTAACTGGAATGTTATTATGGCCTGTAACCAGTAGCAACAACAGACGGGGGAGCTCATGGGGCTGGCAAGTCTTTACAGCACTTTTGCCAAAAGCACTGATCACACCTGATCACGATCATCATTTTCAGCCAGAGCGGAATTGTCGCTTCACAATGACAAGAAAACTTGTCACATTGTCATTTTAACAATTCAAACAATACCCCAACTGAATCAGTGACTGAGCGCTGGGCTCAGGTCGGAGGGCAATCCTTTTGTCAGACTGATATATGCAGAGTGTACACAATTACAGAATATGAACTGCTCATGATTTGTGAAAAACACTTTTCACACCAGTTTGCCAGATTCAACAAACAACAGCTCAAGCAGGAAATATTGAATATAATGAATTTTGTCCAATAACAATAATAGCCATGATTTAACCAAACATCTTGAACATGAATATTAGTTTAGACACAAAATGAAACATTTGAATATACTTAGATGGCACCAACTGGTACTAGAAATTGTGCCTCGAGGAAGAAAGATACTGTGTTGAGCACCATTCATATTTTCCTAATTCTCTATCTTATGATAAGAAATATTGAATTTGCAAAGAGGATCTTCCACTGAAATGGGTTCCTTTTCTAAAAAATAGTCAAACAAAAATCCATTATGTGCAGCAAAAATGTAAAGCCTCAACATTGTTTTAAATGAACCACGTGACACACGACCCCACATCACATGCTCTTTCCTGAAAGGGGGCGTGGAAATGACGCCTGTCGCAACAGGTGAGAGCAACCAGGAAGTAAACAAACATGGTGTTTGGCCCAGTGCGGCGACAGTCAGACAAAAAACATTTTTATTAAGTAATTAAATATTCCCTCACCAATTCGGGGTTATTTTTTTTAAATTAAGTAGGCTTTAATGTTCCCGAGCTTTGTTGTTCCATAATGAAACCATAAGGTTAACCAGGCTCTAAAGTTCACAAGGATGTCAGCACAACAGGTAAGAGTGTAAAGACATATGGTTGTGAGATCCATCCTAATCCGGCTGTAATTGTTTGCAAGTACAAGCGCGTCAATATTATTAAGATCGGAGTTGCTCGTCATTAAATTCGCAGATGCAAGCCCACGATACACTGCATGGAACTCCATCGATATTCTTGTTGACATGTAGGCCTCAACGTGTTAATAGAAAGGCGGAAAGGTTTTCGTTATTTAGTTCTTGGAAGACTCAAACACAGGCTGACATCATGTAGTGGGATTATTAAGGTTGATGCACTCTGCAGGGAAAGCACTACATTTATTTCTTGGAAAAGATGTAACCACTTCACACTAATTGATCTTAGGAAGGCTCAGTATTCTTTGTACAGCATAATATTCACTTTTTTACAGTTTTTAGTTTATTTTTTAAAATCTGGAATCGTTCAGGTTACTGAATTTACTTCCAAATTCAATGCAAATTAAGTGAAATATAAGCATACATTTATGAAGTAGTAAGATGTGACTTCATAATGTCTGCACCGACTGCATATGCTTGAATTTGTAGGAATTACAAATCTGGCATTATTTGGCTGTGAAGTCATTTTTAGAATAATTTCCTTGCATTTTTGATGCATTTTGAAATTTTGATGGTAACATTTTTGTTTAGTATAAATAAATTGAGCCATTCTTGATTTCTGATATGTCATGTAAATATCTTAAGTATGGTCATATCATATCACGGTTTTTGATTGTTTTTCATACATGACCCCTCCTCACCTGTGTGATTAATTGTTCCTGCTGGATTTTTAACTTTTTTTATGTTTCATAATCCATGTGAATCCTAAATATCACTACAAAGACTTAATGTTGTCATCCTGCACTCCAAACATTACCTATGATCTTATGCATAGCTCTGGCTTTAAAGATGTAGTGATCCCACTTCTGATGTGAGTCATCATTTATTGTCAAAAATGCATCACTTTCCCTGCTTGGCCCGGGGATTTACACCCCTGCTGTTGAGCTTTTGGGTTGTACACCGGCGTGATCCATAATACACCGCTGTTCAGCTGTCATATCTCCTGCCCCGTATTTCCTTTTTATCTGAGCCACACATCATGAATTGAGCTGTTAGGTTTACGGGCTCTTTAACTACCCCACTGTTAGATCTTATTGGATTCATTTGTCTTTTTAGGCCGGGTTAAGGCTCCACCCTGGGATTATTGCGTCTGTGATCTTCGTCTCTGTGGCAGCAATCGTTGCTGCTGTATTGATCATCCGAAAATACTGCTTCCCTGTCAAGTAAGCTAACTTTATTAACGAGCCATAACAGCGTTATTTAAAATTCTTTGTGCAGTAAAGAGACATCTCCCTGGTCTGTCACATCACTTTATTTCAGCGAGGCGACATACAGATACTCAGTGCTGAGGCGCATGGAGGATCAGGGTTCAGCAGTGAGAGAGGAGGATGGCGACAGGGGGCCCTGCACAGTGGGAGAGGAGTCAGACGAGGTCAGTGCATCATGGCTGTCCCTGATTGTGGCTTTCACAGACATCCGTCCCACAGCACAAGTTGACACAGCTCTAACCTTCCTCATCACATCACATGTCACTTGTAACTTTTTTTTTTCCTTGTGACAGGATCTTCTGGAGTAAATCGCAGACTGGGAGGCTGCTGTGCCAACCTGAAAAAAAGAGGGTTCTTTTGTGGATGGATTGTGTAATGGTTATTTTCATTATTGATTAATCTTCAGAATATTTTTTTTCAATTATCGATGAATCATTTGGTGCACGCAGACGAAGAAACTGGTAAAGAAAAAATTTATCACAATTTCCTGCAGCCCATGGCGACTTCATCACCATTTGGGAGTCCAAAACTCCCGAATATTCAATTTCATATAATTTAAGACAGGAAAAAGCAACACATTCTCAAATTTGAGAAGCTGGAACCATCAAATGGTTGGCATATTTTTTTGAACAATAACCTCAATTAGTAATGGAGTATCAAAATAGTTGCTGATATTATTTTTTGTCGACTGACTAATCAATTTATCAATGAGTTACAGCTGTCGTGTAGTTTATGTTACTGGATTTGTATTCATTATCTGGCTTGAATTGAGTGTTATTTCTTTATGTTAAATGTGAAGTATTGAGTTTAATCTGAAGTTTTACCAGATCCTTTAAAGCAACACTTTACCAATTTAAAACATCAAGGTCTTAAAATGCCTGTGGAAACAGTTACAGTTTCAGTTAAAGTTACTTGCTAAAATCTCTAAAAAGAGTCTTCTTGTCTTCTTACTGTCCAGCTGTTGAAACCCAGATGTGAGAAAAGAGGAGGTGATAAACGTAATGTTGTTTTGCAATGAATTTAAAGAGCAGCAGTAAATAATTTGGGACTTTATTTGCACTGGGTTTCACCCCTCAGGCTACATACAAGCTACTCCTTGACCCACTCGTAGGGGCAGGGTTGTACCTGCAGGCACTACTCAGGGCTGAATAAAATACTGCAAACTCCTCTGCATGTTTTTCAGGTAAAAGAACCATTTAATCTATATTTTTCACAGTCAGTATTCAGTATTCAAGATAGCACAATCAAGTATTGCACGTAAAATATTTATTGATCATAAAATGTCATCACAACTAAACTTTTAAGTAGGGTTAGTGTACTAAAATACAGTACAAATACAATACTATACTATCATTAATTTAGAAAGCATAAGAAAATCGTGCAATAATTTGTTAATTTCTAGATTGATATAAATATTTTGACCTACGTCATTGATCAAGATACTTCGAGCTATGTAAAAAGGTGGCTACTGCTGCTGATCCCACTGAGAATCAACACTCCACTGCTCAGATTCTTCTTGTTTTCACTGGTTGTATAAAATACTGTCAATTAACTTCGTACAAGTGGTATTGTATGTATTGTATTATTAGCACATCAATACACATGATATTGACGAATGGAGATAAAAACCTGTAGAAAGAAAGTAGTTTCAAGATAATAATTTAATAGAAACAAGATAAGATAATAAATAAGAATGTAACAAAACCTTGTACTGTAGAATTATTTCACTAATGCAATTAATTGGGAGTTGTATTATAAAGAATTTATACAATATCAGTATCAGTCTTAATAAGTCAGAGAATGCACAATATTATCCAGCTGTTGTAAAATAAGCGGTTTCTACAAAGCATCACACGGAATATGACATTTCTGATGATTTTAAACACCTTAATTGACTTGCAGCTACAAATAGTCACACTAAGACTGCAGCTGTCTACCAGTTGGCCAGTTTCCTTTGAAATGTATTTCTCTTTACATGCTAACATTAACCCACTTCAAGTTAATTTGCTGTCCACAGACTCTTTAATGGACTTCTAGGCTGAGTGATGTTGCATGATATCTTCTGACAGCTACATTTGCCACAAAGGAAAAAAAACACCCAGCAACTGCACCTCCCAGGGAACATTATTATGTGAACATTAATGTGACAGGATGCTGGTCACAGCTTTCACTATGCTTTCTCTTTTAATTAGTGTTTGTATGATCAACAAATTAAGCAATGGAATCAATCTGTTGTCATCAGTCTCCACTATGTGTTTTATGAGTAGTTCTGGTATTATTGCACATTTTACATCTGATGAAAGGGTTTTCTCTACAGTTACTGATGATGGTATGATGTTAATGTTGACTCCTGTGTTATCACTGTATATTCTGGTGTATATTTGAGAAATATATATGTTCTTTATTAAATATATTCCTCCTGTGGACTGGCTGTTGTGTTTGCCACCCGCTCAGATTCAACTCATGACCTGCATAATTCACTCGTTCTGTCTTTTATCTGAAAAGCATCTTTGCCTCGTTAGAAAATACATATTTTATATTGTTTGAACTGCTGACTTCCCAAGGTTGCCCATTTTAACCCAAACTAGCTGTGATTGTTTACCAAAGAAGCAACAAACATGGATATTTTATTCCTACAATGTTATCCAGTCTTTTGGTTCTCTGGATGCACAATGTTCCCTCAGATCAGTAGAAAGTAGTACACATAGACCATCTACTGGTTCTCTTTAGTATAACACCATGTTAGGAATAGACTTGAGTTGAGATGCTGTAAACGTGTTGTAATAATGTAAATCCCTTTATATGTAACAGCCGTCTGTTTATATATATATATATAT